AAAGTGAGTGGATTAATTGAATAAACACAGAACTGGATCTGTTTGGGTGTTGTTTAATTTGGTCATCATCATTTTGCTTTTGAACAGCTACCAAAAAAAGTGTCAAAAATACGCACAGCAAAACGCACAAAAACAATCCGATGATCAGACAACCAGTTAAGATTCACTAAATGTAATAAATCATCATTATCACGTTCATTTCAAACGCTGTCATCACAACTTCCGCTGTCAACTTTAACATTCCCAATGAAACAGTTGGCAGATGCGTGTAACAACCTGTTTGATGTGAATCAATTGTTGTCAGATTTCTATGAGAAGTTGACTTCATTCCCGTGAGGTTTCCATATTCCCATTGGTTCGTTCCATCATCGTTATGATTCATTGTTTTGCGAGTAGATTCAGTCAACATTACGCAATCGGACATATTTTCACATGAAAATTTTCTAGCGAGCGAGCGCATTTATAGTTGTTTCTCATTGAATCAGCTCGTTCTAACTTGATAGATTTTCATCCTCTCTGTTCTTGTTACTGCAGCATCCAATCATAATCCTCTTTCTCGTTCGGTTATGAACTACGGAATGCGAATAAGATTCATTAAACTCGTTAGGATTTATAGAACAGTTGAATGTGAGAGGGAAAGTGTTTGATGAATATGGATTTTCTTGATTCAGTTAGTAACAAAGACGTGAGTCTCTTAGAAAAAGATGAGATCTAGTATGCATGATGCGATGAATNTTCTGTTCTGACTGGATTGATTCTTCGTCCACACTATTCGCTGGTTGTACGTTGTATTAGAGATTTTTATGATTAAATTGATGATGCATTTCGTTGGTTGCCTTGCAACGAACCAACCAAACCAATTGATGGATTCGGCATTCCAGCACAATGAATAAATATGTTGCATGTGCCATATTATGTGCGTTACGACGACATAAATTCGACATCTATTTCATCAAGCAACCTTAACGTGAAAATTCGCAATTGTACAATCAATTTTTGGTGTTCTATCTTCTTATGTTTTTACTATTTTACTGTATTCTTGTGCATTACTTTTGTTTGTTATGCATGCATGACTGACAACGATATCATGCATCGCTCATTGCTTATGCAAATATGCATACAAGAATACTGATTAGTACTCGCGTGTTGGCAGATTGCTGATTTCATAATCAGTGTTTTTTAATCGATCGGTTCCCATCGATCATTCTTCATCGAAAACGTTCAATTGAATGGTTTCGGAATTCATTGTATTGTATGACTAGGTTCTAGTGAAGTTATTGTTTGTAGTGAAGTTATTCCTAGTAGGCCGTATCGGGTTTCTTAAGTATATCATTGCCACGTTCACCACCAACTTATTCCATTCACTTCTTGTAAATAAGGCAAATTACAGGAAGTGGTAATCTGGCGGTGGTGACAGGCGTTATGCAGTTAGTAATTGCATTGTCATCGATTGAACATATTTTTGAACGTCATTTTGCATTTATTCATTCATTTGATTCGTTGAAAATGAGTTATGACGATGAGTGGATTGCTCAAAAACGAATGATATATGGATGGATATGAGAAGAGTGACGTATGAGGTATTTGGGTGAGGGTTGACACACATTCAAACGAAAGCAACGATGTGACGCAGACTGGGTCAATTCCTCTCGAATCTCTTATTTGCTATCATTAGTCATAGTCATCATGTTTTGATGACCTTCGCCTGTTCATTTTTATCGTTTGCACTCGCAAAGACTTTTTTGTTTTCGAACAAATTTCTCATTCATCTATCACAAAACGTTTGTGTTATCCGAAATGGCATGAAATTTATCGTCAATTATTGTCAGTTTTATTGAATTGTCAGTTATTCATTCAACAGAATGAATCGTTAATTTTATTCATTCGTTAATTACTCTAGAACCGTTAAAATTTACCTCTCATCGATAGCATTACTATCCCTTCGGAGATGACCGTCAGTTTAGAAACGTGAATCATTCTTCGGAAATTTTTGCATTTAATTTTTCGTCTGAAATTTTTTTTTCACCAGCCTCGCGTTTTCGTTGTTTTCCGTCGCCCTCGTCAATGAACTTCCTTCCGCCCGTTGTTCAGTCGAATATCAATCCAAGAAGCACAGTTTCATCAATTGAAGAGCAGTGATATGATGATACCACAATGAATTTTTGAGCGTTTCGCTGAAATTCATTGTTTTTTATGGATGCACATTATTTTTTGCGTGTAAATTTGTGTGAGCAGGCGATTTTCGATTTCAAATCAACTTTTGCGATTCGTTTCATTGTTTGCGATCGATGTCGAACTAAAAAACAGAACAGATTAGAGCTGAAAAGAATCTGTCGTTGCATTTAATGTGCTATCACCAACTCCATCAAAAGAGTTGTGTCATTAATGATAATGAGAAGGGATCTGGTGAAATAAGTCAAAGAGCTCTTCATAGCAACATCCATCAATCACACTGCTAACACGTCGTATCATTACTGGAATGTGCATCGCGTGTGTAATATAACAGAATCACATATCCTTAACTGAATGCATCCTGTCGGTAAATGTTTCAGTTGCAGTTCTTCAACGATGCACAGGATGTCTAAAGCCGTGTTCCTCTCAGCGTTACTCTTCCTATCTACTGTAGTCGAGAGTCGACGAGTAAAAATCGGCAGTCCTCCACGAGGNCCTCATCAGGTCGATTCTTTAGTTGTGCTATATCTTTTTTCGGGTGAACCTTATCATTTGTTCTGTCAATTCGAATCTCTCAAAAGAAATTTATGTCGCAATGCTTTCCTGCTGAAGAGTTTTAGATTTTGTAAAAATGAAATAGCAGTTTTCAACAATGTTCACGAAATTTTAGGTGCCTGTTCATGCGGTTCATCCGAATCAACCGGCTGGCTCTCGTCCTGGCCAACCCGGCGGAGGATATCATCCGAATCAACCAATGGGTGGTGGTGTTCATCCTGGTCACCAAGGATATGGCCATCCTGGCGGGTAGATCGTTGATCTCATTTGATTGTTATTTTTGTTTTGGTGCTTTGAGCACTAATCAAAATGGATGATTGTCCAATAAGTTTGACTCAGTTGTTTCATGAAACTGCCGTTTCTTTTTATGAAACTTTCATTTCATAGGAGAGCGATAACGTTGCCTCATAAACGAGTTTTTCGTGGATGTTTTCAGTTTTAAGAGTAATTTAAGCAAGGCAATTTGATCGTTCAAATTAAAACGACAATTTTGAGGAGTATCATTTGAAATGGGTATCACTCGTTGCAATTAGATAGTTTGTGTGCTGAATGAGTGAAATATTTTTATAAGTGTAGTCAATAAATTTCAATTTCGTCCAAGAATTGATCAGTACGTTAGATAGTTTTGCACTAAATTGAATAGACAGCATTTCTTATCGTCCTGTCGTCAACTGCACTGCCTGGATTATCGAAGACATTTCTTTTTATGTTGCTATCTGCTAGATGTTTATTTGAAAGGGATATTAAGTTCACTTTACGATGATTAAATATCGCCTCATTATCGTCACTGTCACGATTCATGATTAAATTGAGCTCATTTTTTGCTCAGCCTTTATCGTTCAACTTTGAAAGGCGATTTCTTTTTTGTTGCTGCATTTTTCAATTTGTACCTAATAGTCATTAATGCATTCATATATTTACATGGATGTATTGACGCAATTCTATCATCAGCTCCATTTTGGCTTCACAAATTGAATATGTTTTTGGCTTCAAAAACTATGCNAATAAGTTATATTGAGATCAGTCTCAAAATTTTGAAGAGGAATCTGGTTAACGCGGTAGTTAAAAAACTTATTGTTTTGAAGGTTTAACACAGGAACGGGTCCTGGTTCACTCTCACGAGGAAGTCAATTCAAGACGGCTTTAGCGGCCGGTGCATTGGGTGCACTTGGCGGCGTTGTCACCTATGAGCTCGGCAAGGTTAATAATTCAAGAATTTCCAGCAATATTCTGGATTCTAGGATGTTCCTTTGCATTCCTTCATGAAGATGCATACTCATGTATGTGGAAATGTCACAAATCCGCTCGAATCGTCACACATTTTGAGAACTTTTCAAAAGTTTTGATCGCTCTATGATTCTTGATTGAAATGTTATCAGTGCTTCTTCATTCATTTTCCACCAATATGTGAATGCAAATTAACCCCATCTAATATCTGACCTCGAAATATGCTTTCTCCAAATTGTAAGGCAATCATCCATTCGGCCTCACATCCATTCCACATCAACGATCGCCCGTATTACTTCGATGAGAAGAACTATAAGCAGACCAATGGACAGTTTATGTGCTCGATGCCTCTCGACCAATTGATCAAGCAAACCGCTCAAGTTTGTCATTTATATACTTGATCAGTGTTCAGTTTCCGCATATTCTCGCAAAACAAAAGAAGAATTCATCAACTTTTCGGTGTTCATCAACTCCGAGAAGCAACAAAACTTAAGCAACAGTTCACATTGTTCAGGCGTCCACAACAACCGCTGCACCACCATCAGCAGCAGTATCTGAAGGAGTGGACAATGAAACGGCTACCACACAAAGCCCAACACCAACAACGCCATCACCAGATCAGCTGCTATCAAATGTTCGTTCCGTGAATATACTACGCATGAAAATTATCCTACCGTTGTATCTTCCATTCTCTTTATATAAGAATACGTACAATAAGAAATTAAATTTTTCGTATTTGGTTGAGGGATAATCCATTGCGATTTTATTGAATTTGATCATTATGTATGGAGGTCTGCATTAACTGTTTCGTTATTCCTTTAAAAAAAGCTCACATTGAAGGATGCCTTTATAATGAATGATCCATTTATGAGCCTCAATCACTTATTTCTCAACACATCTATATCTGTTTTCAAATTCTCTAAGCTCCTTTCGTTACGATATGTTAGATGCTGAAGTATCACGGTTTGAATTACCTTCAGTAATCAGCCTTATTGAGTTTCTTCAATTGTTAATTTTTGTATTTAAAAGCTAATATTTGAACTAAAGATTCTTTCACTGTTGTTTTTTTCCCGTCATTTAGACTCTTCTTATCTCATCAATGTTTTTATCGAATGTTTAGATTCAATACCAAGATGGTTCGAAACCAAAAACAATTGTTTGGAGTTGCAAAAGTGGTACAGAGGTTTGTTGTGGTACTGATTGTTGTGCAGCACCTCCTCAGGTTTCTACAGGTGGTAACACCAACTCGGCAGGACAATCATCGGGAACTTCGTATGCTGGTATCGCATTCGGGTGTGTTACATTTCAGTTTATCTTGAGTGATTATTCTTTCGTGACTTATCATCGCTGAAATTTATTAGCTGGATTGCGATGATATTATAGCTTCACAATAAGTGAATCCTTTCGATTCACTTCAGTTTCCAAACAAATTGAATGAGAAGGTTCATTCTCTCGTTGATTCTTACAGTCGGATGGATTCGAGAACCTATGCAATAGCTTTTTCATACAGCATGTGGCTTATAGACCAGAGTTTCAGGTGTATAGAGTATAGTTAGTTGCTAGCCGAATATATCCAAAGACCGTTGTGCTACTCTACCATTTGAGGAGATTTCCCCCTAGTTTAGCTATCGTGTCATATAGTTCAGATGAAGGTTTCAGCTTGCTATAATAACATATCGTGTCATCTTATGAAGCGGTAATGCACAAATTTTGAGTTCAATGTTCTCGTCTTGAAGATGGAATTTTGTGATCTCAGACGAGAAAAATTTGAGAGCGATTCGAAATTCGTTGATGTTATTCAATTTCAGTGTTTTAGTGTACTTGTGGCGATTCTATTGCTGATGTGTTGTTGTTGTTGTCTCGCATATCGCTTCTTCCGTTCAGCCTTTGACTGTTGTTTACCTACCTCTAAGTACAATGATAACGATGATAACCGGAATGTTACTTACACAAGCAACAAATATGCCACTGATGCCACCACGGGTCAGCGTTTTTTTCATCTCTTTCAACTTTTCATCGCTCCTCCACTCAAATCTCTCTTTAATATCTTCAAAGCTTTCACCTTCAGGTTATTTAAATTGAATTGATGAAATTTTTTGACACTATTCCCATCGTAATCATTCAGCAAATCCTTCATCCTAATCAATTTTGGTATTTNTCAACAACAAGGTTATCCGAGTGCACAACCGGGTGTAGGCTATGTCCCGTCAGGACAGGGCTATAATTATCCATCGCAAGCTGGAGGTGGTCCTCAGTCGTATCCGGCATATCCTCACAACTACTGACCCTATCGTATCATCCTGTGATATCGCTTCATTACTTAAATCCAATTGAATCGTTCTCACTCAGGTGCAAAAACGCGTACTTATTGATCAACGATTGTTTTGGTTTTATGCTTGAATAATTTCTGTAAATTTATTTCGTGTAATCCACTTCAGTATCTTTTTTTAAATTTTCTTAATTAGTTGTATTAATCAATGGTAGAATCTTGCCTAGAATTTATGCGTGTTTCACTGTTGAATGTTCCATTTTGTTCATATCCTATTCCATAATTGTCCCATCGTTTTATTGTATTCCCACCAAAGAAATGATTTCCCACGGATGTTTTTTAGCCACTCGCATTGCCGCAAAGACAACGACATTAAAATTACAGTCAATACAAATCTAAACTATGAAACAATTTTATCCGAAATTTGGGAATATTAGTACTGAAACTCATTGATACGAATGGCATAGTTCTAGCTTGGCCTGTTTTTCGTTGAATTTGAGAATTAGACTCGAAAATAGAAACATTCAGCGAATGAGTTCCATATTACAAACAAACTCTCATATCTTGCCCCCTTAACAGTTCATATCGATTGTACATTAATTAATTTGATGTTGTCAACGTTTTTCAATGTTCTACGTCAGTCATTTGCTATTGCTCACAATTGAACTGCAACTTTCATCTTCGCAACCAAATTTTCATTTCATTTCAGCGTTTCAGTGTTCCTATGTGAATAATGTCTTGCTTGTGCGAGAAGAATGTTGTGTTCATGTGTTAAGCTTTCTTTTATGTGGAATATGTGCTTTGTATATTGACGATATCATGAATTCATGGAATTTGATTATCTGAATTGAATGTGTCGTCATTTTTTTGTAGCCAGGTTCCTTTTGAATCAATGAAGTTACATGCATCTGTTTGAATGATAACTTTTATTACTTTTTCACTGCGCTATTCACTTCATTGTCTTGAATTTGTTTGCTTGTAATGGAATTGCTTTCGCTATTTTCATTTTTCAGTTCAATTTAACTTCGACATCGAACTGTTCGTGTATTTCATCGTCATCACAATGTCAATGACAACATATTGAAATCTTTTTGAATTGAATCTTTTGAGTTACCTGTAAATGATCATTTTCGGTGAACTTCAATGTGTGAAATAAAATTTTTATTTAAAAGATTCTTCATGCAGCTTCTGGATGATACACTCTTATAGATAAAATGATGCTGCAGTCAGACACTCTTTCTGAGAGATACGAGTGGAAATGGTGTCGAGAATTTCATAATATTGTCTGCGTGTGCATGATTCTATTACCCATCCAAAATATTCGTGCGTTCGAGGAATATTTTGGGGACATTGTGAAATTATCGTTCTATTGTGTATAACTATGTATCTGGCTCCGTCCACCTCTAGAGGATATGTGTTCTGTTCCCATTTAGCAGTATACAACACTGAATCCTAGCAATCTGCATTCGGGTTGACTTGAAAATCGTTTATTGTCAAATATCTTGATTCGAATACTTCAGACGATCTCATTTGGAGACTTCGTGCAGTATCACTCTCGAATGTTTATGAAAAGTTTGTAAAAAATCAATTGTGACAACCAAAAATTTATCTCCCTTATTCTGATGTTCAGCATGATGGTGTATTATTGCCTCCAGTGTGTTTTCAGCAAAAAGAAACGGTACATCATTTGTCAAGCTCTGGCGAATATTACCGTAATTCAAAGTCATTGAAAAATATCTGCGAAATTTTTT